TCCCAAAAAATACATGTAATCACACTCTCCTTTCAGAGAAAAATGGGGGGAAAAGTACACCAAAAAAAACCCAAAATGTTTCAGAAACATTTAAGGACAAGGAACAAGAGGTTTGCCAAGCACAGGAGTCCCTGTGGGCAAAAAGCCAAGTTAAATTTGTTATTCTGCTCAGCCTGGCAGAAGGGCATGTTTATCCACTCAAGTGAGTTTGATTTTTAACGGTTTCCTACAACTTGCCTACCCTTCTAAACATCCCTTAAGACTTTAATCCTTAAATGATAAAACGTTTTTTAAATGACATAATCATGTAAGCTTTGTCTAAAAGAAGTTACCTGATTATATTTACTAATCTAGTTGAAACAAAAACATGGAATGAAATTGATATGTATGTGTATGTATAAACCTCTTCCTGTTCTCTTGCAATGATGGGAAACTTTTGCTGAAGGAAAACAGCCATTAGCTTTTAAACAGAATAAGGTTGTTCTACAATTTTATGAGAATTCACTTCTTAATGGTATTAGGTCTACTCTTTTCATAAAATATTGACCAGGTGCTGAGCCACTCTCTGTATGCAAGTCACTGAAGCGAGGACAGCACGTTGTCTCCTACTGAAAAATACATGTTCTGTTACAAAAATACCGCTTCAGATATGCTCAAAAATAATTTTGGGAATGGAAATCTATTGGTAAGCTCAGACCCCACAAAAACAAGACTAAGCAGTGCAGAGAATGGAAGCAATAAAAAACCATGGACTAAGTCCACATATTTGGACTATAAATAGTAATAGGCATTTTCACTTTTCTTTCGCTTGCTGGGCAGGCAAAACAAATATAATGCAGATGACCTGGAAATGGCAAAGCAAGACAAGAACAAACATGTTAACAAAGATGTGAAATACAGCAAGGACTTTCAAGTATCCATTTAAAGTTGCATTCTTCTATTTAATAACTCTCCTTACTACTGTTCTCATGTTGGATTTGGAAATAACTTTTATTCTGCAGAGCACCTTCGTGCCATATCTGTGCAAATTAGGCTACCGTAACCATTTTATTTGATTCTGGGCACAAGTTTGCAATTTGCATCAGAATTCTACATCAGTGGTGAATACTTATTGAAGATTAAAGCATGTCTCACTTGATATTTTACATCTCCACTGTGAAGACTGATTAGTGCTTTTAGAAAGGCACTGACAAAAATCCCAGTGGTCCATTAACCTCCAAAAATGGAGGATCACAGTTCATGTCTGGTTCACTTAAGCTTGATTTCTTCTTATTTGCACTATATACGAAGAACTGAAAGTCTCATTTCGAAAAATCCCAGAGGCCCGTTTTTAACAGCTACAAAGCAGATAGACATCGTGATGCAGTGAGTGCTGCATCCTAGTAAGAAGTTCCTCAGAAGAGGAGTAAAGAGTAAACAGCACCCCAAAGAACTGAGGTCTTGAACTTGCTAGTGAGGAATCACTGAAGGCTGACGTATATGTTCAGTGTACCTCTCCACTTCTTTAGCTTTACATGGGATGAAGAGAACGAATCCTGACCATTTTTGAAAAAAGGTCCATGATGTGTCTGCTTCCAAGAACAGTTTCAAAAGAAAATGAGCATACAGGACATAGTCTAACTGTCCCAGATCTCAGATGGTCTTAGACCGCTTCCCTGTACACAGCAATGTTTCTGTAGAGAGCTACACTTGGAGAGCGGGTGGAAAGCTGGAGGTGAAATCTCCATCAGTTGTGCTAGGCGATGCTGTCTCCACGTGGGGCTCAGAGCTTTTCAGCTCCCAAGTCACATATGAATGCTGGATGTAGGTGTCTTGGAACATTTCTTGAAATCTCATTGAGTTTCAGTGACCCCCAGGCACTTCTGAAAATGGGGCTTGAGCCATGAAGTAATTTTCAAAATCTTATCTGTGCTTTCCTCATCCCTTAGGTGTAGCTTTATTGAGCAGATATGTAATTCGACAGGGACACAGGAGCAATGTATACATCAGGCAAGTCAGGGCTGCAAATGTGGGCCTTTGCAAATTTGGCAGATGGGAATCCTCCCCCTTCACTTTATTTTTTTGCACAACCCCCCATATTCCTGCTTTGTGCAGCAGTGGGGAATGAAAAATGGATACAGTTTGAAGTGAAACATTTCTTCCTTTAAAAGTAATTTCCTCAGCTGATTGATCAAAATGTTGTCCAAGGGATGGTAGGTCTGCTGTCAGCTAAAGCAATGGAAGGAATTTACACTCGTATGCTCTTTAGGCACTCACAGCGTCAGCTGCAGCAAAAGTTCCTTTGTGCCTAAACTCCTTTTTTCTTGGGGGAAAAAAGGGAGTCAAGTTTATTTTTCCTTATATATAGAAATTACAAACCTGAAGACTCAAAAAAAAGTGCTTGAATTAGTATTCCTTTGAAAAATGTGTTTTCTAAGAGCTGGATCAAAGATGCTAAAAAAACAGATATTCAATACTTTTGATCTTCAACACTTTATTTCCCTTTTTAGCTCAGTCTATGGCAAAAGTGTCCTGGTAGCTCAGATGAGAAATTATGGGAACATTGTAGTTCACTGCGGTCCTGCACCCTGACCACCTGAACAAACACAAAATCTTTGGAGAACCAAGTTAAATTCGAACAGAGTTCTTCAGAGCATGTAAAACCAAAGCTTTTCAGATATTCAGATATGGGGTTGATTCGTTCAGAAAAAAGAGAGGTATGTTCCTGACACCAAAGCAACGCACTGCAACGTTTCAAGTCCCAGACCCAAGACATGAAGGCAGTAGAGCCCCTGAGCTGAAGCGTTTCAAGAGTCTATTATAAACTGGGCAAAACCATTTTTTTTCATCCTAGCCTTTGTCCAATGGCTAATCCATTTCATTGACACTTTGGGCAGCAACAGTAGTGTAATCATCCTGAGAGACATGAATTTTCAGCTTGGAAGTATACAGTTCTTCTAAATTATAAGTAACCGAGAACAGCTTTATTGTGGAAGGTGTCAGGAAAATTGTAATGGAAGGCAGCACTGTGTGCTATCCTTAATACAGCCCCAGATTATGAAATGTTTGTCATCTTCAGCAGGCTCGATGAGCATGTCTGAATGTTGTTGGTATGTTTGCCTGGAGGATTAATGGCACTTAATGACATTATTTATATACTCCTTAAAGCAAAGCAGAACGTTTCTGCAGCTCCTCATCTGTCTGCTATGCCTGTAGAAAGCAGCGATGCCTCCATGGCTGCTAATGTAATTACGATGAATTTCATAAATAAGATCCACTCTTCGGGGTTAATTTCCAAATTTCTTTATGCAGTGAAAAAGAAATGAAGTTAAAAGCAGATGTTTTAGGAAGTTAGACAGGGCCGGAATGAGTTTAAATGTTAACACAGATTAATAAGTAGAATGCTGTGTTCATTTGAGCTAATTATTTTCTCAGAAGGCATCCATCCTATTTAGGCAATTACACAGCCTCAAGTCTTCATTTCTTATCACTACTATCAAGGGACTTCATCTGCTAGTTGAAGTTTAAGACTGTTCATGTGTTTTTAATAACAGAGATTTAATTTGAAAACTACATTTGAGCTATTTCCATGTGAATATTCCACACTTACAAAGAAATGTATTTATTCTAAATTTAAACTGTAACTATAGTAACCAGCATTCACTGTGTTTCAGTAGGAAATATATAAGCCCACACAGACAGAAGGAAATATGTTGTCTTAATTATCATTCTATCAAAAGACTAGAGTTAGCATTTTTTAAAAATAATCATCAGAAACAAGGTGTTCTTACTATCCAGACTTAGAAACCAAGAGCTTGCAGGAATGTATTCTAAAGTCGTTTGTGGGAAACTGTAAGTTAGAAAAAGGATCATATCTGGACCAATTTGGAGGATATAATGAATCTCACTTTTTTTCCCCAGCTATTTACTGTCTAATAAAAGTACAATATTGAGCTTTTAGAAGCTAGTTTTGCAGGCTTCAGCTTAGATTTCCTAGAGCAATTCCTAAGTTTAGACAGAGTTACTGTTTCAATTATAGATAGATGATCAGATTTTTTTGCTTGAGCAAGTAGCTGATAGATTCTGTAGGTGATTTTGCAAAAGTAGTAAATGTCACTTGTACAGTAATGACCACGTTAATCAAGGTGAGTAAGGACATGAATATCTTCTTCCTTTCTTTATAGACAGAGACAGAATATCTTCTTCCTTTCTTCAGAGACAGAAACTGTCTCTGCATCTGTTTTCTTGGAGGTTGATTTTGTTTAGGGGAGAGCTTACCCCTGCTTACTTTCTTTTTTTAATTCGTAGTATTATCATTTAAATGTCAGTTAAAAGTTTAAATATATAACATCTGTAAATCTTTTAGTAATGGTAAACTTTTCAAATATACTAAGGGTATATAGCTTTCCCCCGGGTAAAATATTTACTGCATATATTTCAGCATGCTAATGGATTTTAAATTTTGTTAACATGTTTTTAAATTGATGCTTATTCACTGAATAATGGAAATTCGAGATATTGATCCATAATACTTAGGGACGTAAAAGGAACACTGAACTATCTCGTTTGATGTCCTTTGTAAATGCCTTGTATGTCTCTTTTTTCCTCTGTACACAGGGCAGTAACCTGTGTTTGTCCAGTCTTGATTCTAAGATACAAATGGAGTGAGAAGCCACACATTCCTCTTCTATATTATTTTGGTGGCTGAACATATGAAGCATCGAAAAATAAAACTGTGTTTTCTTTAAAATTAATTTGTCTGGCATCACCTTGTTGCCAATGATTCTGAGATGTGTTTCTTTCCCAAAGAGAAATTTTAGATGTCAGCTTCTTTATTGAAGGTGGTATCAGTGACAGGTGACCTGACATCTCTCTCTTTCCAATTTATAAAATTTGCCTTAAATGCTCACTTTATGTGTAGCAAGCCACCAATGGTCTTGGGAGATCAGGTATCAAACATACCATACAAAATGCTGTTACAATCAGTAAGTGTTTCGTTATTTGTGGTTTTTTTTCCCCAGAGTTGAAAGAAAGGAGCGTGCACGTTTGAAGACGGTGAAGTTCAACGCAAAACCTGGTGTAATTGATGCAAAAGGGGTATGTAAATAGTGAAACCTTTTGAAATGGCACTTTAAGTCTTTCAGAGGAGAGAAAATTTTAGCAACATAAGGAATATTTAGATTGTTGCAGCCAAGACCTGGAGTATAGTGAAATATAGACAGGAGTATAATGTGATACAATCTTTGAAATAATTATTTGCATAATAATAATACTGACTGACAGTGCCTCCTAATTGGAAGGTACTAAGAAAATAAAGATCATTCTGTGATAGCTGTGACTTTAGTTAAATGATGGCTAGAGAAGAGAAGACTTTAAAAACCAATGGAGATGGATAATTGTTTAATGAAATAGGGCAAGAAGTGTAAATTCACTGGCTTCAAACGCTGTTAAATCTCAAACAAAAGGTTGAACGTTAAAGAGACCCGGATGCAAAATTCAGGTTTTGGACGTTCTGCTTTGACAGTTGTGACAGACATTGAACGCAGTTGTGTTTCACAGCAGGCATGATGGGCCGGCCAACACAAACCACGTGAGTTCCCTTCCACCAGCATTGTCTGGAGAGCACGGCCTCCCCGCTGTCACCGAGCAGCTCAACAGCCAACAGTTCTCACTAGCCTGATGTCTGATATCCCGTACATTGCCATCTGGCTGGCACGAGTTATAGCATGAGAAATGCCCACAGTCCTTGCTGTTGAGGTATATTTTCCTGCTGGAGTGTAGCTTGTGTTTGTAGTAGTAGTAAATACTTGACATTACTTTCACAGGGATTTATTTTTGAAAATGGTCCAGTTGGCATGCATGGGATTCAGAGCTGAGGGCTTCTGCAAGCAAACCAAGAGACAGAGCTTCAGAAACCATCAGCAAAATGTCCTGTTTAGCTGCAGAAAACACAGGGCAGGGCCAAAATGGGGCCATGAGAGGACAAAATCGTAGGTTGATGATAGCAAGGGACAAAACCAAGTGGTT